AGAGAGAGAGAGAGAGAGAGAGAGAGAGAGAGAGAGAGAAAGGAAATGCCATATGTCCCAAGTGAGACCTACTTGGAAAACAGAAGTGCTGAACATAACACACAGCATCCTTGTGAGAGGACAGTCAGTTTTATCTCTGGCAATGAGAAGTTTCTCACCCTCAGGACATGCAAATGACTTTTTCATCTGTTCTTTTTATGCTATTTGCATAATTTTCTTTCACAAAAGTGAGAGCTGTCAAAAAATTAACCATTTGGAGTTTTCCATTCAGTTCTATGACCTTTTCCAGAGAATTAGATCTCTTCAGGGAAATAGTAACTTTGGGTTTGAGAGATGTAGCAGTGTACTGAGAAGGGAGTCATTGGCAGAAAGAGTGGGTGAGGAATAGAGATCAGTAGGTAGGCAAAGACACATGACTAAGTTTATAAAGTTAGTTGATATTTTGAATCCCTTCATACCCTTGCTTGTTTTTGTTTTGGTAAATCATTAGTTTGACAGGTAACAGAAGAGATGTGTAATACTGTGCTCTCCTGTGTTACTCAGGTTAATGGTACAATGCAAACATTTTTGCAAGTGTAGTGCTAATTGAAAATGCTATTTGATAAACTACACAAGCAATGCTGTTTCCTGCATGCTTTGGTCTGAGTACTGATATCTGTAGAAAACTGCCAAATATGCTTATTTAGTATGAATACTACCTTTTTATAAATTCAGAAGTTGCACTCTGGAGAGCTGTAATAAACCTTTAAATTCATTTTACTTAGACAAAGGTTGATATATGTGGCAGGCTGGGGGCAAAGGCAAGTGCAGCTATCTGTTTTATCATATTGCTTTAAACATTTTTCAGCTTTAGACTTGTCTTACAAATCAGCTCTCTCAGTCTAGTAATTGTTTCACTGTACCTTATATCTAGCACGAATGCATCTTGAAAACCAGCAGGAGAAAGCACATTTGTTTAAATCCTGCAATGACTAACACAGTGGCTAATCTTGCAAATTATGATCATAGTTGTTCATCCCTTAGGCTGGAAAAGACCAGATCCCCAAGTGGCCTCGGTTCCTTTCTCAGTTCCCAGGAGACCCACCAAATCTCTGCGTGTTGCCGGGCAGAGGGGGCTTTTCCTGCTAATCAGGTCAATGAGTACCTCCGTGCTCCAGGGACATGACAGGAGTCTATCACAGCAGTTAGGGAGCCTCCAAATCTTGCACGCTCACGGAGAAATCTCCCGTTAAGAAACACCGCTTAGTCCTCATTTACTCACTGGGAATCTCTGAGGATTTCAGCTGATCTTTTTTCTCCCTTTAGACAGTGAGGAGCTCAACATAAACAGGGGAAAGAGCACAGTATGCTGCTACTTGGAGGGTGTTGATTGAAAACTTCGATCTCCCACCCCTTTCACGGTTGATTTGACTGATTTCTCACCTCGTTCACAGAAAATATTTCAATTAAGGTAAGTGCCGGCTTTATCTGGGTGACTGCATCGCACTGAATTTCTGCATTGAAAGTTCTAACTGACTAAACTGACATTCTGCACTGCAGCAAGTGACTGTTTATGTCAGAAAAAAGGCTTAGCTTATAAGCAAGTGTCCTAGAATGAGACCTGGCATTGGGGGATAATGATATTTCGGAGCAATTCCTTTGAAATACAGCCATTCTGCCTTGCATCAAAATAAAATAGAAGAAAATGTGAAAACAGAGTTCATTTCTTATTTTGTCTTTTAAATAATCTGTTTAGAGGACTGTGCACTGCCAAAGCGACTGGATTTTGTTTGAAGTGGTCTGTTGATGTCCTATGATAAAATCTGAGTTGAAAGCTTGAAAGTTAAATTAGATAAAAAGAAAATTTGCAAATGGGAGTTGAAATTTCATGAAGCTTTCTACGTTAGCAGTGTCAGTGAGATCTTTTTTGGCTTAAGGATTTAGGGCTGAATCCCTAATATTTTAAATGTTTCCATTTAGAGATTAAAATTTAAATGTTACAGATTCTGATGAAACTGTTAAGAAAACTGAACCTAGAAGTTTTAACATTCCATTGATATGCTTTATGGTTCGTGTATATGAGAGATGTAATTCTTGTATGAGATAGATTAATAAATTAAGTAAAGAAAACTACTTTCTAAAATGCTTATTTTTGATGAGAAATTTCTTTTTTAAGAGATTAATGTTATGCATTGGTTGATATCCTGACTTTTAGATATTTTATGTTTGAGTGGGCTTTTGTTATCAAACAATAGTGAATTAAGGTTAGCCTTACATTTTTTTTTTTAATAGTTTAGGGTAAGTATCCAGGTAATGTAGATAAGTTTGTTTGTGTTGTTTCTTCTATTTCTACTTTTTCTCATAAGCTTGTTAATAAAATTTACAAAGATAATAGAAGAAACTTTTTCCCCAACTTAGGCTTAGTTATCTGAACTTTTTCTTTTCTATTTTAGTTAGTACATGTAAATATAGGATGATGATTCTTTTCAATTTTATGTTTAAGTCTTATGTAATTAAGAGAAACAAACTAATTTTACTACTATAATTTTATGTGACCTATTTGTTAGCACTCTAAGTATATGAAAACTAGCAATCAAATACTTTGCTATTATTTAGGACTTTTCCTAGGAAATTATTTTCAGATAATGAGAAAATATATATATATATATTATTTTCAATAGCCACATGTTGTTTTAACATATATAGAAAACGAATTTCAGTAGTAAATATCTAATGGTAACAGTGTAAATATCTAACTGCTTTTGTATTAGAATTTAAAATTCATCTTAAACATATTTTCTGGAATGAGCACTCATATTTCCTGGGTATCTTGAGTACCTCTAGTATTTTTAAGTATCTTGATGTAGCATATTTTATAAAGATGTCAGAACACTTTTTATAGTATTTGGCTGTCCTTCTGAAATTCCTTTAAGAACTTTTCAGACTGATCTTGATGTTATTGGTGCTTACCCTAGGGGGAAAATTTCCGGATATGGATAGGTTCTGACATGTACTTGCCAATTGTCTGTCTGCATGTTTTCAGCCAAAGACTGAAGATAGCTATCCACTTTTGGTGCACTAAGATTTCTATCTTGTTTGGGGGGCAGATGGTTTCTTGATCAATTCAAGGAAAACTATGAGAAGATTGTGTTGACTACAGTGACTGTCACTGGGTCCTTGGTTTCATTGTTCTTCTTGAAAGCAAACATAATAAACAGAAATAAGGAACATTAGTCAAGCAGGAGCATATATAATACTAAAAACTTGTACATTGGTCAAAATATCTTTGTAAGATAGTGCCATGAGCCAAGTTCAAAATTGATGGCTGTCAGTCCCATTGAATTTTTATTGGATGTTCTTACCACTCAAGTATATAAATAGTGTATGGTCACTGAAGTGTGCATTTAGTGCATAATGAAATATTTATATTTAAACATGAAAGTAATTATAATTCTTATTCAAAAGCATCTATCTAAAGTTTCTAAAGGAGGTTTGTCATTTCTGTATATTTTGTCTTAATCTGCTTCATCCACACTGATAAGAAATGAAGAAAGTATTGAGTGCAATTGAAAATTAGTAGTTATGTAAATTAGTTAGCCCTCTCCCCCTTCTATTTTTCAAAATTACTATAGTATCCTCATCTACCACCATATCTCTTTCCCATTTTCATTCAGTTTATGAAAATTTATTTCTGTTATAAGATCAGAAAATATTTTATAGGACAACCTCATTTGGAATAACACAGTTTTACATTTTAAAGAAAAATGACTATTAAAACTTCATGAAGCTCCACTATATGGTTTTTAATTAAAAAACAACAACAACAACAGAAAAAGCAATCTATAACATACTTGAAGTGGTTTAAAATTCCAGATAACTGAGTTATAAACTTTATGTGTATGTTGATAGAATCATCAATTCCAAATTATAATGTTATTTATCTCCATTTTCCAGAGGAGTTAAAAGCTGAGAAGATATGTAACCTGGCCAAGGGTACACCATAGTGGGTTATGAATTCATATAACAGTTTCAAACTCAGATCTGGGTATTCAGAGTTTATGATCCTTATACCATACTTCTTTATTACCTCTTATATGGTGAATGTTTCCAGTATTTGATATGAAACACATGAATATTTTTACCATATTCATGATGGTACCAAGTAATTCTATCACCATTATAATAGTATAACTCTTGCTTTACTTAAAGTAATTTAATTGATCTAAAGCAATTTCTAAGTAATTTCATAGCCACAGATGTTTGAAATAAGAATATACTTTGTAGCCAGGCAGGATGGAAAAAGCCTATAATCCCATCAGTTCAGGAAGCTGAAGCAGGAGGATTGTGAGTTCAAAGCCAACCTAAGCAACTTAGTGAGACCCAAAGCAAAAAAAA